TGAAGAATTTTCGGGCTATCTAAAACGCGCCATTGCATTTGGCGGATACGAGATATTGCGCGCCAAGCGACGATATGTATTTAGTCATTTTTAATATGCGAATTCCGTTTTTCGCGAATTTCGCTTTTTTTGAGTTATACCACTATTGAAGTAAATGAGCGACATGTATGTTTTTTTATGTACATATATGTAAGCATATACACGTACATATGTAATTTTTATGCTGCATGCTTAATATGTTACAGAGACTTTGTCGTTGTGAATTAACTTGACTAGATTTTGCAAATATTCAAACATAAAAATACATACTTATTTATTTATGTGTGAAGTCGGATTTGTCTGTACATAAAAACATACATGTATACATATTATAAGTATTGTTGCATGTGAGCATTACTACTTATAGTAGTGCGATTCATGAAAAGTCGCAAAGTTGAATTTTTGGCGAAATGGCAAAGTTGCGAACCGAATTGTACGCACGAAGCTGAAAAAGAAGAGATTTTACAATTATATTTCGAAGTAGCCTTCAATGACATAATTTTTCTTGATGTACATATTCGAGAACAAAAAAAAAAAACATGCGTTTCGCGTCGCAGTGTCGCAAGAAAGTTTTCATACAAAAGTAATCAGCTGTCTGGCAACAACCTTGCGACGATTCATGAATCCCACTGTACTTCTCATTATGGCGTATGTCGCGTCCACCGAATGGCGTTGCAAAACTTTTTGCTGTATTGGTAAAAGAGTTTACAACTGCGCATCAGCGGGCTTTTTTACTATTTTTCTTTATTGCAGAAATCTTTGCTGTTACTTACTCCTATGCTTGTGGGGGAAAATACGATCGATTATGGCATTCAAAATGGATGGCGACGATGTTGAAGATCTTATTGTAGCAACTTGAGGAAAATGCACCTTGAGATCCTTCAATCCATTTAAGTCGTGGAGGCCAGATAATATATTCAATATAACATGAATATGTTAGAACCAATCGGTGTGGATGAGTATTTTGTGGAGACTTATATCAGATAGTCCGCTTAGATAATGATGTGAACTCATATGCTCCTAGTATGGTATTCCTGTTCCTCATCAAAGCTGGACATTTGCAAAGAAAGTGATCCTGCTAGTTTTCATTTGTGCAGATTCTACAGAAGGTACCCTAGGCGATGCTCAGCTCTCTAGTGTGTGCGCCAACCGGCCATTGCCCGATAATAATTGCTTCTAGCCTCGCAACGTCAGGTCTGAGTTTTACTAAAAAGTAACCTTGAACCCTCTCTGACTAACTCGGCAGCAGCCTCGCTCCTGGGAATGTTGCGATGACCAGGGACCCAAACTGAATATATATCGAGCTGACTACTTACTGCGTTCAAAAGAGTTCTATGCTCTTTGATGAGTTTCGACCTTGTTGAAGAAGACGCAAAGGCACTAATGGTCACCTAACTATCTGAAAAAATGGCTACACGTTTTGAAAGTCGACAGCCTTCAGCTATATCGAGTACTTCTGCCTGGAAAGCACTTGCCAAATCGGCAGATGGATTGATGTTCTCAATCACCGGAATTCAGAGAATATGCCTGCTCTAACTCCGGGTTCCAGTTTGGGGCGATCGGCGCACAGATGCTGTATCAAAACATAGATATAAAGTCCCAGGTCCCAGTCGGCTCTCGACGCGAGAATGACCTCGGAACATCTGTAAGATTCTATTTCAGGTCATATTTAATCGGAAGCCAGTCTCGTCTTGGGTGGAATTCGAGCAAACTGCTACGCCTACTAGGGGCAGTAAATTGAAGCGCATTACTTAGTTCTAGTTTTTACCTAGTAAATATCAATTCGTTGACATTCAAAGGTATACTATTTATGCTAAGCCAACAACATTAGTTTATGTAATACAAAATTGTTTCCACGAGCCCATTTCCCCGAAATAGATATATGATTAATTCATTAAGGTGCAATTTGCTTATGTCGCACTAAAAAATGATTATACCTATTAGTCTAATCGCTTTCACTTAGAACAACATAAAAATAAATGTCCTTGACAATTTGGTAAAAAAATACATTAGAAATAATATATACACATAGGTTCCTTAAAACATATTTACTTTGAGAATACAGTCTTATACATACATATAGTACGCACATATTTACCAAAAAATATACTCTTTCGTTGCCATTGTTTGGCTTGGCTTATACAAAAGTCTTTGCATATCGAGGGCTTATATTGAATACCCTATATCTGGAATTTTCACAAAAACTGCTTCGTGATGTTGGAACTCATCTGGGGCTTACCTGACATCACTGATGCGAATTCTGACTTTGCAATTTAATAGTAAATTCTTTTGTCAAGCGCTACAGAAGGTCATCATTAATATCACCGATGACAATTAAGTTTTAGGTGGACTTTTATATCAGAATCTCATTTTTGTGAAAAGTTCACATAGAGGGTATTGATTATAAGCCCTCGATAAATAGTTCTAAAACCATTCTATACTAAGGATACAGGGTCGGTTTTACATATCTGGATCAAAAAAGGAAAAACTAGAAGACCGCAACGTTTATATTAGTATAATGTAAGTAGTAAAATATAAAAACGGTGAAGTAACGAATTTTTGAGCAAAATATAAAATATCAATGAAAAACTCATTCCTACTGTAGAAGTCCTTACTGCGCCGTTTTTTATATTTTATATGTACATATGTACATATATGCGTATACCAAAAAGGCTCTTAGCTATGCAGCTCCTTGTCATAACCTTCCACAAGTAGAATTTGGTTTGAAAGTTGCTGCTCTTTTATTTCCGAAAAGCATGTTCAAGAAAACAACATAAATACATACATACATAGAGGGAGTTGCGCACATTCGGCTCAAATTGTGAGTAATCAAATAAATGAAATAGCTTTAATTAAAGTTCATTGACTAAGCGACCGAAACAAATAATGCACTGAAATCATAAAACAGAGATTAATGCCAAGAAAACCATTTATAATAGGTACAAGACATCGAAGTGGCCATGAATTTAACGACCACCCCAGCCCAAAGTGTCCCAGATTTGCATGTGTGTGTGAAGAATGAGTAGAAAGCGACTCCTACCAACTACCTGCCGCAACTGTTTTTTTAAGGAGTGGAAAAATACACCAACACGAAAAAGTATGTATGTATGTATGTATGTATATAGTCCATAGCAGATACTAGGTGCATGTAAGTTAGATTAGGCAAGGAAAACATTTTCGTGCCAGAATTGCTTGGTCACTTCCGTGTCCATTATTATTTGAATGCATCACAAATATTGAGAATGGGACTACACACGTACATACATATTGTATGTAGATACATATATGGGAAACATATTTAATTGATTGTACATTTTAATGCCAACATTTGTAAAAGGAACGCCCTTAAATCGCATGTATGTAGATATATATATATACTTAAACTTGAGGTACATATCGTCACCTGAAATGCAAAAAGACGTAACAAACATCGCCGCTGAAATTCAAAAAGTCGTAACTAATAAAAAATTCAAAATTCAGTTTTTGATTGATATGATGGATTTCATCGAATTACAACTCCCACAGCATTTAATGAAAAAATAAAAAATTTTAGTCACGACTTTTTCCAATTCAGTTGTTTTGTTTCAGTTGTTGTTACGTCCTCTTGCATTTCAGGTGAAGATATATATGTTTGTATGTATTTATATATTTATGTTTCCGTTGAAGTTTACTTACTTAACTATGTACATATATATTAATATATATTAATCGAACGTCGTATCAATAAATATTTGTGCCACGCGCCCTAAAATTTCCATTCGAAATCAATATATGTACTTGATTACTGCACATGTATGTTTATATTCCCATACATATTATTCTGCATTATCCTGAGTTTCGCCCGAAAAAAAATTCACCCAAATATTTTTATTCCGCCTCATAGTAAATACATGGAAAGGAAAAGTGAAAGGTAAACCGGTTCATGGAAAACTAAACTTATGATAATGCTGAATATGAATTAAACATAATATAACATAATATGTAATAATGGAATAATAATAGATTGGCGCTTACACATATGTTAATGTTTGGCCGACCTTCTCCTCCGATTTGTGGCGTGTGCCTTGATGTTGTCACACAACATATAATAAAAGTAAAAATAGTGATAATTTTCAATTTTTAACACAAAAAAAAAAGAAGTAATTTTTAAGCAAAAAAACAAAACCGACTTCAATTCTCAGATAAAAATTTAAGAGTACCTTTAATTTCTTCATGAGGCAATGATCTGAGGTACCACCTTTCCTTCAAAAAAAAAAAAAGAATTATAGAATCGGTTAACGTGGTCCAAAGATACACAAAAAAATATATTCCGACGAATTGTTAACTTTTTTTTGAAGTCGGTTAATAAAAATTGTCAAACTTCAACTATTATTTATTTAAATATTTTTAGCTGCACAGCTTGCGAATAGTCAGTTCAAATGAAATTATAATTCATAGGAACAACATCAACGCAGACATACCCCACAGGGCCTCTGAAAACAAATACTATTTAATTCAGTTACCAACTCCTCATTTTCGCCAAATACAAATATAAACTCTCGTGATACATATGTATATCCAAAGGAAATAGTTTTTATTGTAAGCACCTACGATTTCCCTAATCATCAAAAAAATCTGTAGGAAAAATCTGGTCTACTATTTTGAACAAATATTTTTTTTTTGCTCTGAATCCACGAATTCACATTGGACCCACATTATGAGTTCAAAAAATGTGACATCGCCACCTCGAAAATACATAAAAGTTTTTGATGAAAAGGAGAAAATTGTAAGATTTGGTCGCCATATTGGATTGGTAATTTTGAATTTCAGAAATCTGACATAATGAATTAGACGCTTAACAGTACTAAAGTTTTATTTTTATTATTTTTTTTTTTTTGAATTTCAAACTGTGTCGTCATTGCAGAGTACCATGGATATATGGAAGCACATTTGTTTTTTCCACCCCACAGGTTGCTATGAATTCAACAGGTGGCCACCACGTCCAAGCGCTAGGGGTAGTTTTTCTTACTTCTAATTGTTGCAACATTTAAGTATCCACGGCAACACCGCAGGACAAACAAACCAAAAACATACCAGGAAAATTTTGGCCATAAAAAGTTGGCGTATACTTCTGCAGAAATAATTCCAAGATGCGTTTAAAAACTCATATTTGCAAGCGAACATCCGACAACAATAATGTCGATTATCGTCTACAAAATTCGGCAACACAAAGAAGTTCAAGTGGCCAAAAAGATGCGGGAAACAATGGAAAAACAAATATTTCACCGCTGAGCTGCGCGGATTGGAGTAGCAATGAGGAGATTTATTTTGTGAGGTAAGTGGCTGGATGAAGAAACTATGACAAGAATTAGCTGCTCACAATTAAAATAATTTGTTTTTTTTTTTATCCATAAAAAAGTGATGATCATCAGATTTACAAATGGAGCGCCGCTACACGCGAATCGGTCGAAGTGGCCAAGCTACCCGACGATTTCATACCGACCGACTTACATTGGCTACTGTTGGGCGGACGCAGCAGTGGTGGTGGCAAAGGCAGCGATACGCTACTCATCTGCAGCAGTGATGGCCGTTTCATTATTTTGAATAAAAGCGCGCGAGTGGAGCGCAATATTACGGCACATAGCGCAGCAATAAGCACCGGACGTTGGAGTCCCGATGGTGCAGGGCTGCTAACCGGTAAGCACGTTGGCATTATATTTACTTCATTACTCTTTCCACTGAAATGCTTACAGCTGGCGAGGATGGTGTCATAAAGATTTGGTCACGCTCAGGAATGCTGCGCTCCACGGTCATACAAAGTGATGACCCAATTAGCTGCGCACGCTGGGCGCCCAATTCTACTTCAATTGTTTTCTCTCAGGGTTCTTACATGTCTATTAAACCGCTGGCAGCGAATAGTAAACTGACAAGGGTACGTTTCATATTTCGTCGAGATACTATGCCAATTTTTTTTTGCTAGCTCAAATACATGTTAATAAAATTTTCAAAACATTTTCCTCTCCTTCGCCAGTGGCGCGCTCATGATGGTCTCGTGCTTTCTCTCAGCTGGTCTACCCACTCGAACATCATTGCCTCGGGTGGTGAAGATTTTCGCTTTAAGATTTGGGATTCGCAAGGTGCGAATTTGTTCACCAGCTCTGCGGAGGAGTATGCAATCACGTCCGTGTGCTTTAACTCTGAGAAAGATGTGCTTTTGGTCGGCTCGTTCAATATGTTAAAACTTTGTTCCAGTGCGGGTGTAAGTAGTAAATACAAATGTATACTTATTTAGTGACGAAGGCTGCACTATCCTACTCGCATTTTTCTATTCCTTTTACCCACAGTGGTCTTACATTTGCACTCGCTTCAGTGAACCTACCGTGGGTTCTTTCTACACCATGTCCTGGTCTTCTGATGGCACTCAAGTGGCCTGCGGCACCTCGACTGGCAATCTTGTTGTTGGATATACCATCGATCGACAGTTGATCTCACGTAATCTGAAAGCTACAACGACCGGCCGTAAAACCATCCTATTGCAGGATATCACAAATAGTAGCAGTGATGTTTTGGATTTTCCCGAGCGCATTATTAACTTCGGCCTAGGCTATGGTCATCTAATTGTGGCCACATCAAATCAATTGCATATCTACAATGAAAAGTATATCAATACGCCGATCATTATTGATGGAAGAACGGATGTGCGCGTAATTGAGGTGGGCAAGAAGTGAGTAAGAATTTGCCATAAAAGGTTTACGCACAAATCATTTTACTTCAAATTGTTGGAAAAAGAAATCTTAATGTAAATAACCAATTGAGGGAGTTTTCTACTGCAGAATAATCTGGAGAATCGGATTATGCTTAAGTTCTGATTCATTCGCACTGTCATTAACTATTGAGACACCTTCCGACAAAGCGAACACAATGCTGCCCAAAAACGTATTAGTAAAAAATTCAAAGCTCCAACTGAACTTCAAAGCATGTTTCCGTCCATTTTTTTTTTGTGGGTCTCCAGCCAAGGGTTAAGGTTGTTTTGACAGTGGAGAGTTAATTGAGATGTAGCAGTCAACTGTCGAATTTCAGTACAAAAAGTCTAAGTTAACAGACGAACGAGAGTTAATTCCTCAGTGTTAGAACGGCTCGAAATAAGAGCTCGTTTCAACTCAACTAGAATGAAGCCAAACTTAAGAACTTGGTTTTTTTTTATTTTGATTTCGATTTGATGAAACAGGCAAAAGTTTATTTGACTTATTTCACCATAATTTGTTTTGTTTTCTTCTTCTTAACAAGATTCTTCATGGTCTTGGATGCCACTTCAATTTGGGTTTACACCTACAATGGCCGCCTGCATTTGAATCCACGTTATCCAGGTATGCAAGCGCAAATACCGCTACTTACTTGGCGGGCAGTCTCCCTGGGACTCGACGTGCTGGCTGTACGAGATAATGCGGACAACACAGGTAAGTTAATTGCATATTGATCGACTTAATTTGCCACGCTTCTATTCGCTTCTTCCTAGTGATTCATATCTTCGATCTTACACCGGGCGCCTCACGTCAATACGAGCCGCACTCGCTGCGTGCAAAAACTCAGATTTCCGAGATCTCGGCATGTCGTGCAGGTACACTCGACGATCAGTATGTCGTGCTAATCGATAACAATCGTGAGTTGTACATCACTGAGACGCGTAATTTAAATGGCGGTAGTGGTGGGGGTGGCGGCGGCGGCGGCGGTGGTTTCAATGCTGTGGCAGCTGTGGGTAGCGGCACCGGTGGTGGAGGCGGTGGTGGTAGCGGCAACACAGATCGCAGCAGCAGCGGACGCACTTCGAATTGTGGCGAAGTTTACAAGATCGGCACACAGGTAACAACTGTTATGTGGGCCAGTGAAACGAATATTTTGGTGGGCGTTCACGACACTTGCTACAGCATTTGGTACTGCCCCGGCGAGGGAGCCGCCGATCCGACGCTAATTGCGCTAACAACTGTGACTGTGGATGCCACGTTAGTACTCACTCGTACAAGTAAAATAAATAAGGCAATTCGTAGTTAACTATTCGTTTCAGTGAATTCGGCAAGAGCATCACTCTGGAGACCTTTGAGGATGCCATTGTAACATTCCGTTGCGCTGGCGCTCTGCTGCCCGTCAACGTGAATATCTATTGCGAAATCTTGCACCGCACGCTGATGGAGGGACAGTGGCAGCAGGCTTTGAAGATCTGTCGCCTCGCTCAGAATGGCAACCTCTGGGCTACACTCGCAGCGATCGCAACGCGCAAAAATCAGCTGCAGATCAGCGAGGAGGCCTACTCGGCGGCATTGCAAATCGACAAAGTCAGTTACTTGCAGTACATTAAGGTGAGAAGCGAGATTTGAATGCGAGTGTTTTGGTGTCAAGCTTTTTACACACTCGGCCGAAATTTTTATCTTTAGGAATTGTCACCAGCCAGCCCTGAACAAATGGCGGAGAATTCCCTAATGTTGGGACGTCTGATCGAGGCAGAGACGATTTTATTGCACAACAAGAAATTCACTGAAGCTGTTGCACTCTGTCTGCGTATGCACAATTGGCATCGAGCGCTGGAGGTGGCGCAGAAGCATGAACCTGAACTGTTGGAGAAGGTGTTGGAGCAGAGACGGAAGTACTTGAAGGCGTTGCAACGCGATGAATGGGATGCGGTATTTCTGCCTTTCAAAGTGAAGGCAAATGACGACAAAAGCGAATAAAGTAACAAAGTTTTTTAATGTCATATATTACTTCGTATTTTCTATAATAACAACAAATGCAAAATATTTTTGTTAACATCAAATGGCACTTAATAAGCTGGACAAATCATCGGTTTACCATCCAGTGCGTTGAGTATATTATTAGCAGCTGTTAAGCCCATTTCAATTGTCGTTTGCATCGTCTGCGTGCCCAAATGGGGTATTACAACTGCAAAAATATTGAAGAAAAGAAAACAAATTAGAAACGGCGTAAAACTTGATGATGACTTGTTGAAATGCAAATCTAATTGATGTGAGTAGCTAGGCAGCACAATGTTGACACCTACTACTATATAAAATATTTAATTGGAGATGCGCAGGCGCACACTGCTTCCCTTCCATATAAAATGTGGGCAAAAATAGAATTATGCACGGAGTTAAACAAAAATTCGCTTCTTAGTAAAATTGAGGGCACTAAATTCAAAAATGCGATTTGTTTTTGGATAAATTTCATAATTTCACTGTAAATGCAGTTTGAAGTTGAAAATTTGGTTCTATTTTCAAAAGTGAGGTGTCAAATGACAGTGCTTGGTCTGTCGATGTGCAATAAAGTTTTTTGTTTTTGAAACGGGTTGCCACCTATTAAAAATTGTATTAAAATTATTTAATAAGTTTAATGAATTATATATTACAATATGGGTATCAATTGAAATGGTTTTGAAAATGCTTTACTTATAAACGACAGGCTTTCTTGAGAGACTAGAAAGTTTTTAACTGATTGAACTCCTTTGGGGTCAATATCTATTCATATTTTTGTTTCTTACCACAATTTGGCAATTTCAGAAGCGGATCGTCTGCTGGAAGTGGTTCCGGTGTCATTACATCCAAGCCCGCAGCGGCAATTTCACCAGTTTTCAAAGCATTGACGAGCGCAGGTTGATCCACAATACCTACGACAAAATTTATAAATAAAGTTTCATAAACATATACATAATATGAATTAAAATTGCGAAATTAATAATTTCCCAAAAAATTCTATACGAGCATTAGGTTGTCATTCAAATACCCACCTCCCCTGCCCACATTTACAAACACACAGTTCGTCTTCATTTGTTTGAATGCACCCGCATTAAATTTGCCGCGCGTCTCGGCCGTTAACGGACAAGCGACCACCAAGAAATCGCTTTCCCGCAGCAGTTGTTCGAAGGGAACGTGAATTGCGCCAAATGGATTTTCGCGCGGCGTGCGTGTATGGTATATGATTTTCGCTGCCTCCCAACCTTGCAAGCGCTTCGCTATAGCCTGACCAATACCACCAAAGCCAAGAAAGCCTACCACAGAACCGCGCACCTCTTGTCCCATCATCCAGTCGATACGCTCCGTGCGCCAAAGAGAACTTAGGCAGAGATGAAATAAAAGCGAGTGAGAAAAATTATTTAACAGCACAGCGAACTTTCCCAGTTGGCAATTCTAGTGCAAGCTTTAAAAGCTCCACTCGATAGCTTAATGTTAACGGTGCTGTTAAATCAGCTGGCAGCATTTGAGATAGCACATTAAAATTTGCTTGTGTCACCTCTAAATATTGTATGGCA